AATAAAATAAAATAAAATAAAATAAAATAAAATAAAATAAAATAAAATAAAAATAAAATAAAAGCATTTCAGAGTGTTCCAAAGACCACAAACAGATGGAGATGCGGAGAGATGTGTCAAGGGATTAAGTTTCAGATGAAAATTGAGGAAGACACCTGCCTGCCAGCGTGGGAAATTGCCAGAGAGGGAGAGGGTTTTTAAGAAATAGCTGCCAACGATATATATATAGTTGCAAAATTAAGCTACAAGTTGTGAAATTATTTGAAAATGTGTCTGAAATACTTGAAAAGCATGTAATTGTTTTAGTTCCAAAGTATCACAAAAGCTGCAGGAAACAGAATGGGGTAAACTATTGTTTAAAAAAAAAACTTAGCTTAATATGCTTAAGAAGTGTTTCTTTCAGCAACACCACTTATTTTATATGTTGTAAATAAAAGGAAACAAGGCTTTTGTGTGCTGAGAATCTGATCATTTCCCGAGAACCCAAAATCTTGTGACCATTGATTTATAATGAGATGATGTTCCCTGCCTTGATTTGTTTTGGAAGAAGCATCCTAGCCTGTTAGGCTGCCATCTAATGTCCCTTAACTCTCTGATACTCCATGTGTAGCTAAACTAAACTAAACTAGCTAAACTAGCTACCAATGGAGGAACTGCACTACCTTGCTTTGGCACTGTTATGTGTAGGTTAGGGTCCAGTGTTGCCCTACAGATAGGCAGGTAATGGGAATGAATGAATGAATGAACAAATGGAAGTTGAAGTAGCTGATTGTCTATGAACAAAGGTTGCCTATAATTCTGCTGAAAAAAGTATCACTGTGGGAATGGTAAAGTGCCTGAGACTCCCATGTCTTGCAGGGATAACCAAATCAGAACTAAAACCCTCCTTTCTTTCTAGCCTTTTGCCATGCTATGAATCACTAGGTGAATTCATGCCTTCTTTGTCCTCTTGGGGTTGTCCTCATTCTCAATACATACCTCCATATCCAGCATCTTCTAGCATCCTCCAGCTATCCTGATGAATAACAGGGAGATCTGGTTGATTCATCCCTGTTGAAGCCTTGGGAGGTTGAGTGCTGCCATATCATTTTCCCAGCCTCTATCCTGGAACTAGCTGCTGGAGGACCACTGCTGTTGCAATCACTAGGCTTCATCTGCTTGGCAAGGGGAGGAATTCTAGGGGACATAAGCCACATTACCTTCTGCTGCTGTCTTACCTGCCTGCTCTGATAGCAATCACCCCATATTTGGTCTCAGCCTTCCAACTTTTGTCTCTTTGTGCTTCTCCTTGCTGATGGGGGAAGGTGACATCTAACGGCTAATTTGTTGATTTCAAAGTGACCTTCAGTCCTGGGTTACAGACAGGCCCTAGTTTGCACTACTGCTCCTTACCTTTGGATTTCTCCACCTCTGGAGGCCCAATTCCCTTCTTCCCTGACACTCCTTTCCCCGTCTCCTAGGCCCTTCTTCTAGCTTAGCCACATGCAACTGCTGCTGTTTGTATGCCAATCTTCTGCTCTCACTCACTCTTAAATTCTCAGCTGATGGAACTGATGGAAAGCCACTGCTTCTGCTAGAAGATAGCAGATAAGATAGAAGAAAGGAGTTTCTTCACTGGACAGGAAGAAACTCTTTAAGCTCTACCTAACAGCTAGAAGAGGTCAAGTTAATCCTTACATGTCAGCTTCATGTCCAATGACTGATAGTGGAGAGAGGACTAAAATAAGTGCATATTTCTCAAATACATGTGTCTATAACTGATAAAATGAACCTTCCCTACTCCTGTATTAAACTGTTGATGGTACAAGTAAAGCCACCTCCCCATTCCTGACTCTGACAAGATGCTATGAAGTAATCGTGCTGTCAAGATCTTTAATATGGTAATCTCTCAACAAAAATCTAAATATGTATTAGTTGTCCTATGATGAATCAGCTACATTTTCTGAAGCACTGTGCGAAACACATGCTCCTTTGAGTTATCTGTGGCACCTCTGAGCATTTTGGGTTATTAACCTATGCTTACCATTTACTATTCATAGCATTTACTGGTAAAGTTGCTTCTCTATAAATTGTAACTTAACATATTTGGTACTGCTTTGATCCAGCTATTATGGACTCTGTTTTTCCCTATCTAGAAACTGATGCTGCAATTGCTCTGTCAAAAAGTAAAGGGGGAGTTGAAGAGGAGGTAGAGGAGGCAGTCCCTTACCTTACCAAGGCTCAGGGCTGGAAAGGACCAAGCTGGGAATGGCTTGAATTGGGTGGGTCCTTGCCTAACATCCTGTGGGATTCGGTTAATGACAGCAACAGGAACTGCCAGAATTGCTGCTGCTAAGCAATACAGTCACATGGCATTGCACTTTATGACCGCATCACCTAGCGATGGAAATTCTGGTCCCAATTACCATAGTAACTTGAGGACTACCTGCATTCGAGATATAAAATATGTCAGTCATTTGTATCTCTGCTTTACCGTATTCTATTATACGTTTATGAAAGTCTCCTCCTTTGTGCTGACTTCCAATTAGGAATGAAGTGAATTTTTAAAATAACAGATTCAAGGTAAATTCAATTTTAACTAAAAATTCATGTTGTTCCATAATTAGTCTTTAGAGAAGATCTGAATCTCATGAAACAAACCTGAGAGTGTTTGGTATTGTTTAAGGCCATTTTTATTTTTTTTAAAAAAACTCAAACATTTATGAGTCTCTAGAATGAATAAATTTATTGTCTTTACAAAAAAATCATTGTCTAAAAATATGGGGATACAAAGAAACAAGGTATTTGCAGTCAGATGCCTGGTGGTCAACAGCCAGTTTGAATAAGAAATATCCAAATGCACAAAAACAATAGCTTTGTAACATATGTTAAAGCTTTTAACCAAAGAAAAATATTATTTCAAGCATGTTGCAAGAGTTCAAGATTTTGTAGCTAACACTGATTCATCCTTATCACTGAAGATTGATAATACCACTTGTACTAGAAGATGCAGCATGATATGAAGGATCAAAAATTAATACACTGAATCATTGTTATAGGCAAATTATATATGAAACATTGTCTTAGTACTGCAGTGTCTAAGGCACTTTCTGTAAATGTCAATTCTTAGCTAGGACAAAAAGGATGCTAGCTAAATGTGTTTCACCCAAGTGAAAGCTGAAAATGGGGAGAGGGTAGCTCCACTGGTGTGTTCATTTACAGGCAGTGTCTACATGCTACCTCTAGCAAATATACTGATGGGCACCAAGAAAGCTGGCAAGAACTTCAGCTAGCACTCCTATCCCCAGCACTTCAGCAAGAAAACAGTTCCTTCTGGGAGAAGTCATCCAACTTCCATGCTGAGGCAATCCAACTTATACGGAATACTACTTCAAGACAGAAAATGGTCAGCATCCTACCCAGATCAACCCAGTATTCATGACGTCCAGAACAGGAAGACATGAGATGGCCAAGGTGGGCAGGCGTTCATTAAGTAGTATAAGCAAATGGCTAGTTATGATGTGAACTAAAGCTCCTCAGGACATTTTCAGCCAGGTGACCTTGTGTCAGCCAGAAAATGATAGGAACAAGGTCCTGCAAATAAGCAGGAAAGAGAAAACCAAAAGAAATGGAGTGCCACTGCTATGCAGCTATGCATGCATAGAGAAAAGGCATAGCCAGCTGCCAGAAGTTTCTGCCTGGGATAGAGGGAGCACCCGCTTATCACTCAGTGCCTTAGAAAATGGCTTTACAATGGATACCTTGAAACAAAAAGCACTGAACAGAGATACTTTAATACATATAAGTAGTGGTACCTATATCCAAAACAGTTTACAATATGGCAAAGCCAGGCAGCAATAATGCTGTGACTGACCTGCAATACATGACCTAATGCTATGCCAGTTTTGCCTAAGGCAGGTCTAGGCCACGAGGCAATTTGGTGGCCAATAAGTTCTTCTTCTTTCAAACATACGGAAAGAAGTTACACTGTGGGAATGTTGGCAGTATAACACTGGGGATACTCTACTCAGTTTGGGCAGCTTGAGGCTCATTGATATCACTCCCCTTACTCTCTGCATCATCATCTGAAAGCTCCAGTGAAGCTCCTTCAATATGCAGTTGGCGCCTTCCAGATCGGCTGGAGGAAAAGGTAATTGGGCCTCCTCTCCTGCAAGAGGATATAGTAAGTGACTGCTGGAACAGAAAGTCCTTTGCTTTAAAGAGAAAAGCTCTGAAAAACTGCTGTTGAAATCGACCATGCACTAAACTCCCATGAGCACAGATCAATCCCCTCCCCCAACCAGTTTTTTCCTAATCACAACAGAGTGTGCTCATGCATCAGGGTCATAGCACTAAGTTAAACACTGCTTGCATTAGAGATGGAGCTAAACCTCCAACCACTTCATCTGTGCTAATAAATAGCCTAGGACAGACACTGAGCCCTATAAAAGGGAGGTCACTTAATGAGCAGCCAACTTCCAGCATATGAAACAGCACAAGCTAATTACCAGACCTTTGGAAGCATGATACTCCCTTCTGGTTTACTAATAGCATTACATTCTAAGTCACAGACAATAAGAACAATGTACTGGGAGAGGGGAGCAACTGGAAATGAGGATCAACCAAACCTTTTACTGCCATACATTTGTGACTGACCTTTTCCTGAAGTTCCACTGTGGTATACACCCAAACTCCTCTGCTCTTTCTACCACATAACTCACCTTAGCCTATTCTTCAGAGTGCTGACCTCTCGGCTAAGGCCTTCATTAGCTTCAGTAGCATCATCTAATTCACGCTGGAGTTTACGACGTGATGCATTAGCACGTGTAGCTTCCTCCTCTGCTTCTTCTAGTTGGCGCTTGAGCTGCTTCATCCTTGCATTAGCTTTCTCCATCTAGAGAAGATCACCAAAACAAGTCCCCAACAAGGAGCGTTTAACAAAACACTGAATAATGTTCCACTTCTTGTTATTCTTTCACACTACCATTCAACCCACTGAGTGGTCTGAACTCCTAAGATTAGGAACTTCTGGATCTGCAATCTTCAAGCCATGTTCACAGGGCTTTTTATAGTATTCTGATGCCATGGGCTGCTCATCTAGTAATGGCAGGCAAAATCTTGATGGCCTTTTTCTCACTATAAGGAGAAAAAAGTGCCCCCACTTCAGATAATGTTTGGGAGGAGCTGCATATCCTGTAACTGTTCTGTACCGTCTATGCAATTTGATGTTTCGCTACTAACTGGCCCAGCTGCAATGTCTGTTCACAGCCAGATGGGAAAACTGACTTAACCTCTTTCCTTTTCAATAAACCTTATGAAAAAGACTCAGTGCAAAATCTTGCTTTGCCAAGAGCTTGACGTTAGCTTTCCTGCAAATTTCTGCTGAAGAAACAGTTATAGCTGTGTATGCTTTTCCCATGCAATATTATGGACAAACAGAGCTCCACTTTTTCCATATTCTCTCACTTCTGATCTATGTAAGACTCAGATGAATCAGGCCATTTCCACAGCACTGGATCAGATGGTCTCTGGCCATGTCTAAAAGAAGGCGCTTCAAACAAGTTACTAAATACCCCTTTTTGCACAGCAAGCAATGAAATGAAAACGTCTTAGTTGCTGGGGTCCTAAGCAGAGCATGAGGTTGCTCACCTGTTCTTTGTACTGGTCTGCATGTCGGCGCTCGTCCTCCACCTGCATGAATACCTCCTTCAGCTTCTTCTCTGTGCGGCGTACTAGCTTATTGGCTGCTGCCCTCTCCCTAAAAAATTAATGAAAGCAGAAATAACACTTTTAAGAGTAATTAAATTATTGGGTATCACAGGTATCCAAAGAAAAGGTTTACGCTTAAATAGTGCCTAAATATTAAAACAATAAATCACATATTTAGAGGAAAAAAATAAGGGTTGTGAAACTTTTGACTGGAGGTATCTAAACATGCTGTCTCCTCCTACTTGCTCAGTACTGATCTCTTCACTTTTCCACAAATTAAAAAAAGCAAAGGGAATGATACTAGTAAAGGTATGTAGAAAAGCATAAAAGAAGACAGGAACAAAGTAACCATTAGTATATCAAGCACCTATGTTCCCTCTGTTGGAAACTGTTTGTTTTTAATTTGTGGGAAGGTGAAGAAATCAGTGTTGATAAAGTGAAAAGTGTTTCAATAATTATGTAGCTCTGAAGCAAGACAGGAAACGAGGGAAGGACTTGTTCTAGGAAGATAATATATTTTAAAAGTCAAATGAATCTCCTGTTTTTGAGCAAATAGAAGGAGGTAGAATCTGCCTTAAATATTTCCACAGCAATAAAGAAACAAAAGTGATTTCAAGACCCTCAAAATTCTTACACCATCCTCAAAACTTTGACTACTTATCCTTTGCTGAATCATTTAGCTTAATTAAAAGATGTTAGTGCAGTACATCCACATATATTTGTCCTAATTCCCAAGTTCGAAGAAGTTACTTTCTATAAATCATTGTCCCCCCTTTGGAAAGCACTCTTTTTTTGAAAACACTGCTTACTTTGCCTCCTGTTCCAGCTGTTCTTCTAGCTGTCCAATCTTCGCTTCTAGGGCTGAAATGGTTGCCTTGAACTTGGATTTGACAGAACCCTCCAATTCCTGAAGCTTGGCTTTCAACTCTTTGTTGTGCCGTTCTAACTGCTGACGGGCATTCTCACTCTTCTGGGCAGCACTCCGCTCTGTAGCCAGCTCAGAATTCAGTGTGTCAATCTTCAGGAAGACAGGCACGGTTATTTAGATACATTGCCCCTTAACTGGAGAAATGAACAAAATGTTCAGCTAACACCTGCAACACAAGAGAGCACCTGTAGAGTTGTTTTGCGGAAACGATCATTGAGGAGCTCCATATTGCTTTGCTCTTCCTCCAGTTCCTCTTCCAGCTGTGCAATTCGGGCTTCTAAGCGGCGTTTCTCATCCAGCAAGGCAGATCTATAGAGAAATGGAAGCAAAAGAGGGAACTACAAATTTAAGCCAGGAATTCTCCCGCTGTTATTGCTTACACTGCAACCGTTATTGACATACATCATTTAAAGCCTGCTGTTAGTGAAACGTTCATCTAACCAACTTACTTTCCAGAGGCACTGTTAGCAATTTCATCAGCCAGCTCATCCCTCTCTTGCTCTGCATGTCGTCTGCCTCTTTCTGAAGCTGCAAGCTCCTGAAAAGATAGTCACTGGGATCTCAGACGCCTTGGCAAGGAAGGACATTTTCAGACATTTGATAGAGAGCTACTATATTATGCTCAATAGCAAAAAATTTAACATAATTATTGACATAAATACACTCTTCCCCAGTGCTTAAGTACCACAGACATCCTGTGTTATTAGACATCCTGTGACATCTTCTGCCTACTATCTCCTTGAAAAATGATCCAAGAGATTTTAAACATATATATTTATGGTTCAAGAGACTTTCTGATCATCCTCCAAATTTTACATATTCTTATGTGAAATGCAGAAACATATTCCTTTTTTCAGAATTCTGTCTTACAGAATAGATACCGTAAGTACCATTAAACTAGCAATTTTTCCAGAATGAAGCACTTAACATCATACCTCTTGGAGCTGAAGAATTTCTGCTTCAAGCCCTTTGAGCTTCTTTTCATTTTCCTTTGACTGAGCAAAAATTTCATCTCGAGATGCGCGGGCCTCTTCTAATTCACGCTGATAATCTTTCATTTGAGCCTGGAAGTTTAAAAAAAAGTTTTTTTTCCCCTCAGTCTTGAGAAGCTACCTGCATTGCCTCAGTCTAATCTATACACCCAGAGTATAGTATCTCTTTCCATTACATATTATCACATAATATATTAATGTGTAAAATAGATCTCTTTCTCCCTTCTAATAAAGAAAGAGTCATAAAGAGTTTTGCAGAGAATATATCTGTAAAGTTAGAGAGGGGCTCCCTTGTCCTTTCAGATTTTAAGAGTTGCTTTGTGCACCTGCAGTTTGCGCAACTGCCTGATGGCTTCATCACGGGCCTTGTTTGCTGCCTCAATCTGAGCTTCCAAGTCCTTCAAATCTGCTTCCATTTTCTTCTTGGATGCCACAGCCAAAGCCCGCTGCTTCCTTTCATCTTCCAATTCTGCTTCCAGTTCCCGAACCTACAGAATTAAGCAAAAATACATGTGATAAGATGAAAGTCTGAATTCAAGATTAACCATTAGCTGAAGCCATCTAAAATGAAGGACAAAGTTCAAGAAATATACCCCTGAATTTATTTAACCGCATAGTAATATCAATTATAGATTCCTTGATGCTCTATAAGAAACCACAAGAAGGGACAACAACTTTTTAGGAATCCATATTACTTTTTAAGGAAATGACACTGCCAAATAAAAAGACAAGCAAAAAGTTTAGAAGTAGACAAAACACTACAGAACCCTGGGGACTAAAAATCAACGTTTTTACCTGCTGGCTGATTTTATCTCCTGAATTTCTCTCCTGAATGCTTCTGTGCATAAGCTAATAAAAATACTTATTAAATTGTATTTTAGCAAAAGCTATCAACCATAATCGTTAAACTTCATACTGAGGTCAATACAGCATGTTTGTTCACGGTACACCTGCTCCCAAATTAAGACAACTAGGCCTTGTATGATCCTATTCATTCTTCAAAGAAAAACTAAATTTATGATCAACTACACACACACAAAAAAACAACCCAAAAACTAGTCAAGCAATGATAATGGCTTAATTACTTAATAGCAATTAAAGTTTCTGAACTGTCTTGGGCACATGAATGTAAAGGCATTGTTATGGGCTATTTTAACTTCTCAGAATCAGAAGTTGAAAGGCCTAATCTATCAAATTGCCAACCTTAGGAGCCAAAAGGCAATCAACTCCTTGAGGCTGGTTTGACAAGTGAGGACAGACTCAGATGAGAGGCCAGATCCTGGCAAGGCGCCTAGTTTGAAGACAGTTTCAGAGTGCAGAGCAAAGGCGATCTGCTTGACTCTTTGAGGAGTAAGGACACCAATGCCCCCAAATGAGCCATGCCTGTGGCTGGGCTACTTAAGAGCAGCCACCAGAGACTGGGCGTCTGTTGCAAACAACTCAGCAACACTGGGCCTGCATTGCTATATCCCTGCTTCCTGCTCTGCTCCTAGACCCTCAGCAATACAGTCTAGACTGACTTACAATATTCTTGGGTGTTTGATTCCTGGACTATTGCTGACCGTGCCTGCCTCACTACCACTGTCTTACCCTGACTGATCAGTGCTCAGTGATCATTGACTGATCAAAGAGTATATTTTCTGGAAAAATGTGCTGCCGTTGTAGTTGTCAAGCTTCTTGGTCAAGTAGCAGAAGTATAGATTAAATAACCTAATAAGTCATCATAATATTTGTCGAAAACTACAGTACATTTGGAAAGTATTCAGACCCCCTTCACTTTTTTCAGTTTTGTTATGTTGAAGCCTGATACTACAATCATTCAAATTCA